GCGGCCAAGACAAGGAGGACAAGACCCGGACACACAGAGCCCACAGAGGACAACGGCCACAGAGCCCAGCCACACAGAGCCCAGCCACAGAGAGGACAAGAAAAGGACAAGGCCTGGACACAGAGCCGAGCCCCAACGACAACAAAAGCCCAGCCACAGAGCCGAGCCACAGAGGACAAGAGGAGGACAAGGCCTGGAGCCACAGAGTTCAGGGGTGCGGTTAGCGAGTGTGGGCAGCTCTTTGTTTCTAAGATAGAACCCCAACAGAAAACTGCTTGTAAAAAAACATTGAACGAATTGATGTAGCGCCTCCTTGAATGTGTTCCCCTTGAATCGGGGAAAAGACTCTTTCAAACCCAAGGCTACGACGCTTATTATAACCCCATCCCTTTGGCGTTAAAACGTTCCAAGGTCTTGCTGGGCCACTCTTTTGAAAAATTGTTGGATGTTGTGATTTGAAGACTTTTTGGTAAAAAGACATCTTTTCTATTTAAGTTGCAGCTAAACCACTTTAAGAAAGAAACGCCAAGAAACCACAGGCCAGCATTGCCCTAACATAATTCCACCCCTCTGTTATTAAAGATCTCTAGGTCTTTGTAAAGCGCTGTCAAACATGCCCTAACATAGTTCCACCCCTCTGTTATTAAAGATCTCTAGGTCTTGGTAATGTACCCTCGAACATTGCCCTGACATAGTTCCATCCCTCGGTTATTCAAGATATTGCAGATCAGGGTGAAAAAACTTGCTCCAACCAGTTAAAACAACAGCCCGAAATTTTGAATTAGCTCAGAAACGTTTTATTGTTCCATTCTATTTTGCTAAACAGGGCTGTTGAACATTCATGAAATGTGAATGTTTGTTGCTATTTAAATATTTTCATATATGTAGTTCATTCCTTGCTGGTTTGTGGTCTACGGAATAGAATATACATGATGCAATATGCGTTTGCTGATTCTGCAGTTGCACTATGGGTTTGATTTCGATGAGTTCCCTTTCGATATAGGCGGCCCGGCCGCAATAACGCAACGAGAACGCAACGAACAATACAGATAGAAAATTGTTCGCATGATCATTTTTGTTGCTCAGATATTGGGGTCTTCATGCGGTTCATGTTTTTGACATTCTCACATGGGGTCTTCATGCGGTTCATGTTTTTGACATTCTTACACGTCAGGAATCATTTTTCCAGTCTTTGTCCCTTTTTGTGTTTTTTGAAGTTTGCAAAGACGCCTGCCAGTCTTCATCATCCACAGAAGTCGAGATCGCGGAAGATTTCGGAGACAAAACAACAAAGCAACGTCATAAGAAATCGAGTCTCACTACATGGAGCGGTCCAGCGCCACACTCATTTACACACAATTTTCTCAGAGCCGCACTCTTTTACATGTATTTCTCGACTTTTTGTTTGGCCAATGCCACAGCTTCCTGGCCAACTTTACAGGCCGAGAGAGATGACCATATTCTTTTTTTTCACTGTTGCAAGACACCGATTTCTTGCTTGCATGGTACGCCCATGTCTTCCACTTTTCACAGTTGTATTTTTGTCACTTTTGATGGGGGTTTGGTCTAATACCCCCTTCTCAGATCTCAAATGGCTAGTTTCTTGCGCCGACCAGCCGCGCCCCAGCCTCGCGTCGCTTCTCGAGGGCTGCATTGAGTTGCGCCTTAGGCGGTGGGATTGTGTGGAGCGCCCTTTTGTTTAGATTGCACATTCATATTGCAACTCGCACACCTCACGAACAGGCTTTCGACTTCCAATACGTCAAACATACTTCCACGCTGCTACGACTCGGTTGCTGGCTTCAGGGGTCTATGAGAGGCGTGCAGTGTGTTTTTGTAGTCCATTTGGCCATGGAGCCAGTTTTGGCTTGAAACCCGCGCCTTTCTCTCATTTGACAAAAAACCGTTCAACAACCAAGTCTTCTCCACAATTGGTTAGTTCGGTTGAAAGCTTCAGCTAACCTCAGCCAGCGGCCAAGTCGGAAGCCAAGTTGTCAGCGCTAGCAATGTCAGTGCTTTCAGTTGGTGACAAGAGATGTGTGCATTCGCTGTTTTCTGGTTCCTTCGAGTGGACAAACTGCCAGTCAGAAGCCACGAAGCCCGATTGAAGTCACGAAAGTCTTCAAACAGGGGTATCGCCCCAGCCTCCGGAAGTGACCGACAGATGACCTCACCTATATAGGCATGGAAACAGGTCCACATGCCCTGCGCTCAGCTGTACAAGAGCCTTTATGGCCATCCAGAGTCGTCTGCGCACTGGCAGGCCCACCTTTCCAGGATCTTGCATGAAAAACTCAATGGTGTCGAGTTTAGTGAGATGCCCTCGGTTTTTCGTTTCGGTCGTTCTCTGGTGATGAGCGTCCACATAGACGACCTTACTCTCTCAGGTGTAGCTTCCGAACACAAAGGATTCTGGAAGACCCTCAAGCAGTATATAAGTTTAGATCCACCCACGGAATATGGAAGGGTCTTAGGACGAAATCATAGGCTTGTGTGGTTTCAAGGGAGCAAAGCAGTGGCCTTGGAATCAGCAGACTTCGCAAAACAGTGCGTGGAACTGTATGAAGAGCTGGCGAAAACGCCGGTAAAGGCCTACTCCTCGCCCAACTGGGACGACGGAGCCCTGATCCCTGCTGATGACAAGATCAAGGGGCAGCTCTCGCCGCATTCGGCCAAATTAGTAATGATGTTGATGTGGCTTTGTCGCATTAGCAGACCAGACGTCACATTCGCTGTGACCCTGTTGGCGACGCACATTACGGTGTGGTCACAAACGAGTCGCGAGGCTCATTGGGTACTTACACAAGTCCCATGAATACTCCCCTGTGATGTGTGCATTCGTGATCCGCCGGAGCAGTTGAATCTCTCCCTGTATTGCGATGCCGATTTCGGTGGAGACATCAGGTCGATGCGCTCAACCTCACGATTCGTCCTTGCAGTGTCGGGACCCTCCAGCTTTGCTCCTGTGAGCTGGGGCACTAAGAGGCAAAGCATAGTTTCGAGATCAACCACAGAGAGCAAGTTTGTTTCGCTTTCGACAGCCCTCTTCTCAGAGGCAATCCCAACCTTGCAAGTGTGGCAAGAGTTGATCCCAGGGATGACCCTGAAGGTTTTCGAAGACAATACAGCTGTAGTCTCGATTATCCTGAAAGGTTACTCCAACGAGTTGAGGCATTTGAGTAAAACCCACCGCATACATGTGGCTTCAACTGCCGAGACAATAAATAACGCTGATGACATCACAGTCCAGCATATCGAAACGACTCAGCAAAAGGGTGACGTGTTTACAAAAGGACTGCCGTTATCCAAATGGAGAAATGCCTTAGAGTTGTTGCAATTCTCCCTGAGTCCGCTCCCGTCTTATGATGCAGGCAGGAGTTCGACTTGCCTAGAGCTAAGCGATAGTCAGCCGCGGTTCGAAGCTAAGCTAGATCTGCAATGAATGAAATGGTTAGAGCTAAGCAATAACCAGTCGCAGGTCAAAACTAAGTTAGATCTGCTTTGAATGAAAGTCCGGACAATGCACGTCGCACAGTGCTATTGCCGAGCATAGCGCCAAGCTTGCACGCAGGGAGTCTGGCTGCTCAAAGCGCCTCTCCCAAAACGCCGTTCGTAAGCCTGTAATGTTCGCTTGCAGTCTTTCGATAGGAATTGTCAGGTCACAGACGGTTCAATCAATGAAGCGACTGTCTCAGACCTGGAATACTAGCTGTACAGTTGTCCATCACACTATGAGGGGGGACTTGAGAATTCCTGTGTACAGTAACCCTCCATGTAAAGACATAGTTTATGTACAACTGTGCTTTTGGCTCAAGGTTCCAAAAGGCCGCTGCCGCTGCCCTGTCGCGGACACGACGGTCTTAACTGTGAATTGATTTTGGTTGTTGTTTGTGTTGGTGTTCCCTTTCAACGGTTCAAATATAAGGAAGTCTTCATACAATATATAGTCATAGGAATTCATAGGATCCTCAATGTGTTGTGAGTGTTTTGCTGCAAGGTTTGGAGATGGTGAAGACCTAAGGCAAACAAAAGGAATCGAGGAACTTTGTGTCCTTTTGAAGTCCTTTGCTGTACTCTGCTTTTGAAGTTGGGCTCTTTCGACTTGAAAAATGGACAATACTTGCCAAGGGGGTCCACTTTTATGGCTTTGCCAAGCTTGAATTCCACACCTGACAGGCGTGGTTCTAAGAAAGAAGAAAGGTGTAATATAGTTTGCTAATTAGTAGGTTGGAGGCCATCACTTCTAGGTTGGAGGCCACCGCTGCTAGGTTGGAGGCCATCGCTAGTAGGTTGGAGGCAGAACCTTAATCTCAAGTTCGACACCTGACAGTAGAACCTTTCAAGTCAGATTCTCAGCCAGCCATAGAACATCGAACCTTTGGCAGGAGAAATCTGCAAGCTCGACACGAACACAAGAGTGACCACGTGGCACAGCTTAATAGCCGCAGTCATGTGAGGTCGAAGTAGTACACAGAGATCCAAAATTGGTCATTTGTTCTGTTAGCTGGCACATCGCGCTCGTGCTACGACCTGTTCGCACAGCTGTGTCGGTGAATTTTCAAAAAGGATGAAGAAAACAAAAAGAAAAAGGAAAGGAAGAAAGGTCTTAACTTAAGGTTGACTAAAAACCATTTGGTACGGCAAGGATCCTGTCGCATCTCTTGAAATTAATAGAACGGAACGACAGAGTCCAGGAACCATAGTAGGTTGGAGGCCATCGCTTCTATGGTCAGCACATGTTTTCATGTTCATGCTCAAGGGCCTAGCGTTTGGATTCGCCAAACGTGCTCACGAAATCTCAACCTGGAGATTTGGCAAGGTAGACAGATTTGGTGTGTGGTGTGAAGGATAACAAATGGGGGGCCCAAAAAGCCATATAAAGAAAACGGGTGTGACATGTGTTTATGTCTTTTGTTGAGCAATGGAAAATCATGTCATTACTTCGAACATGTCAATCAAATCTCCTGCAGCTCTTCAGGTGGTGTTGGCTCCGTCACAGCATGCTCTTCGCTTCCGCCAGTTGCTACAAGGCCGGTTGAATTCAAAACTAAATCTGTAAACCTAAGGTACTTGTACTACATAGTCGTGTAGTTGCCCTAAGTCCCTAAGTTTGTTGATTTCATGGTGCAAAGGATGCCCCTTTCAGCTCTTTCGTTTTCATGCAGGATTGCTCCACGATTGGATACAAAAGGTAAATCTCCTTCAAACATCTAGGAACCGTTCGGAACAGTTAGGACCACTATATAGTAGGTCGGAGGCCATCGCTACTAGGTTGGAGGCCATCGCTCCATGCTCTTAGCTTTGTTTTGCTATTAGGGTCAACGAAAGGGTTTGGGCCCGAGCTCTTCGAAGCCTTGCCCTCCGTAAGCCGAGTAGTAGCAAAGATGTTACTAGCACCGGCTACAAAGTATTTAAAATGCTCCCACAAAAATGTGTTCAGACATGTTCGGATGTGTTGTGTTTGTTTTGGAAGAATATCTCGCCCGTCACGAGGCCTCAATTGTACCGAAGAACAGCTCGCCTTTGTGGAGGGCTCCAGGCTCCGACAGATGCTGCGAGGGGTGAATGCCATCGCCCAATCTGAGCCCGTGGTACCGAGGTGATGAACTTTCGAAAAGATGTTTTGGATCATGTTGTTGAACATATGTTTGAAATACAAACATATGCCATTGAAGCAAAGTTGAAGAAAGAAGAATCCTAGAATCCCAGCAGAAGAATTATCTTCATCGCATTTGAGGCATTGGCCTTTGAAAGTCTTTACGAAGACCTGGCACCTGTGCGCTTTGCTTGCGACGTGCTCTATTGGCGTCTGGAGCGGCCTTTGGCGGATGCAGCCCTCAAGCATCAAAAAGGAGCTGAGGAAGATCAATACAAAAACAAATATCAAGAAGCCGTAATTGATGTGTGTATATATAAATAAGCATATATATATATATTAATGACTCATTGCATATATGTACGTGTGCTTTGTTCATTGAAAAACTGTGTTTCTTCTCAGTGGATCTGAGGCTAGTCATTCTTCTGTGCTGTTGGAGGCCAGAAGCAGCGAGGATTTGGCTGCTGCGAGAGAGCTCTTTGAAGTTTTGGATAAAGACACTCGAAAAGAGCCAGACTGATTCGACTACGGAGATGACCACTGTTGTTTTCAAGGTGAAACTCGTTGGTTTGTCCATTTCTCACCAGTCCTTGGCTGTCGTTGTAAACACTGACTTGAGCCTCTGTACATCAACACTTGAACACCGAGGCCATCGCTAATAGGGTGGAGGCCATTGCTATTAGGTAGATCGATGGCTTACTGCTTGCGCAGTGCTTCACCTCGATTCGGTATATCAAACCATTCTCAAACTAAGGACGGTAGTGGAACATTGGACAGGTTCGGCCTGGAGATCAGTGTTCACGAAGTGTGTTCTTGTTACTAGTAGCGATGCCAGGAGCCCCTAGTAGCGTCCTTGCTCCTAGTAGTATGGCCAGGAGCCCCTAGTAGCTTCTTGTTCCTTATGTTTCTTCCTGTCCCAAACTCTTTCGCCCAACTGTGCAGAACTAAAGGCTAAGGTGACTGAGGTGTTGTCGGAAGGGAAGCGGATAAGGAAACTGGAGGTGCTTGCAAGCGTGAGCATCTGAAATTGGCAGTAAGAGATCCACGGTTGCTTCCAATAGTCCATTGGTCGTACTTTAGCCACACACTGTGTGGCTCGATTCGATTTCGATCGAAAAGCCGATCGAGAAGCCGATGTAGGGACGAGCTTTTGTCCAATGCCCTGCTGCGATCCCTGGGTCATTGTGAAGGCTGTACTTGCGAAGGTGGGAGCCTTCGAGTATTTGACGTTCTGCAATGTTCAGGATGCAAGTCACTTGACAAATCCAGCTAACACTTGAGTTGAAGCAACCAAAGCCTTGAGGTATTCACAATTGCCGGTCAGTGGACAAGTTTATGCAAGATTTGGATGCGGATGGTAGCTTGAAATGCAGATGTTCAAGATGCAAAGTGCAAGCCCTTCATGTGCCCCTCGAGTCGAGGTGATGGCTCCATCACATTTCTGGAATTTATGCTGTCCGCATCCAGGGTGCTTTTCGGCATCTTGGCACCCAAGAGCAAGTCTGTCTCGGACGAAACGAAGAAGAAAGGTCTCAAGGATCGAAGTAGATCAACCTCTAAAGACCAAAGGAAAAGCGATGGCCTCCAACCTCCTAGCAATGGCCTCCAACCTATAGTGAAAAGGAAAAGAACACAACTGGGATTCCATGTTTGCAAGAACAAGGACGCTACTAGGGGCTCCTGGCCGAACTAGGAGCAAGAAGCTACTAGGAGCAAAGGGCAATACTATTTAGTGTATCGAATTGGAGACTCGACTGAGGTGGCCGCAGAGTCGCTGAAGCCTCCTGCCGCAACACACAAAGTCGACTTCACAATCCATTCGAAGTCGAGAAAAAAGCCTTACCATTTGAGACCTTTGTGTTTTGCATATCTTTCTTCCTTTCTACCTGAAGTATTCTGAAGTGTACATTGAATACCTCACATTGTCGCTCTCTGGATTTATGTATTGTCAAGCAGCCTCCTTTGAGTCATCTTACAAGCCAAGGCTGGACCCGAAGTTATCGAGGCCTTACTTGTGGAGAGAGGCAAAAACAAAGATAAAGTCAAGGATTTGGAGAGGCGGACATGAGAAATTGGAGATTCGGATATTTGGTTTTGGTGTTTGATTGAACAAGTCAATGAGCAGACTCATGCTGCATAGACTCTCGTCTCTCTGCCACAGGCGATTTCAAGGTATTCTAGCAACGATAAGGAGCTGGGAAGGCACCGAAGTTAGCAAGAAGGCCCGGCAAGTTCACTATCCAAAGCAAGTAGGTCATCGCAAATTTGGTCATTTCTCCTTCCCTTAGCTCCTGCTTCCCCGTTGTTCTCTTGTGTGACTCTCGCCGGTTTCCACTTTTTGCTCAGCCGGAGACTCTCGATTGAAGATTGATCGTTGAACTGTTCGCTAGTAGTAACAAGTGCATCGCTACTAGTAACAAGTGCCTTACTAGTAGTAACAAGAAGCTAGTAGAAGGCACTTGTTTCTACTAGTAAGGCACTTGTTACTAGTAGCGATGCACTTGTTCCTAGTAGCTTTAAACGTGTCGGACCTGTCGTCATCGCGGTGGAAGGTGTTGGAGGAGAATTCCTCGAGAGCTCGAGTTTTGGAAGGGCTGTGCCATCCCAAGATAGACCATCGTTGTTCTCCATTGTTGCATGTAGGTTGGAGGCCATACTCTCAGGTTGGAGGCCATCACTACTAGGTTGGAGGCCATCGCCATTAGGTTGAAGGCCATTGCCATTAGGTTGGAGGCCATCGCCATTAGGTTGGAGGCCATCGCCATTAGGTTGAAGGCCATCGCCATTAGGTTGGAGGCCATCGCCATTAGGTTGGAGGCCATCGCTATTTGGTTGGGGGCCATCGCTATCTGGTTGGGGGCCATCGCTACTAGGTTGGAGGCCATTGCTCTTAGGTTGGAGGCTGTTGCTCTTAGGTTGGGGGCGATTGCTCTTAGGTTGGAGGTCGTTGCTCTTAGGTTGGAGGACATTGGTTGGAGGCCATTGCTATCATATAGGTAATAGGCCATTGCTCTTAGGTTGGAGGCCATCGCATGTAACTTGTTGTTGTGTGTTGTGTCCGCTGTGGCATGCCGATGCTCAGGTTGACGGGGGCCAAGATTCCGGACTTGGCGAAAGCTTTGCAGGCTTGGTGGATGTTATGTCCTGGTAAGCTCCGACGCTTGACGGGAAGCTCGAAAGGCTGAACACCATTTCTGATTGGGGAAAGGAAGGAAAGGTGGAAGTAAAGATTCATGTTTAGAGGCCTAAAGAAAAACAATCCAATACTAAGCCACTAAGCTTGGAAAGATCTTGCTTGCGCTGGGCTTTGCATTGGTTATCAGGATAGCCATTAGTCAACTCATTGTAAGCCGGTACCTAGAAACATTTGACATCACTGGGTTGTTGGCAAGCATGTCTTGACCCGAGTTTAAAGTAAAAGAAGGCTACGGCTACGGCTACGACTCATACGAACTCTACGATAGGTCAAGAAAGAATCCTAAAACGGGTCAAACAGGAAGCCACAAAGAACACCAAAACAAGTCAAAAAAGAACCCTTTAAGACAGATCAAACAGGATGCTGAAAGCAGTTCAAAAAAGAGCCCTGCACCAAACTGCACCGAACAGCCAGAATAGAACCCAAAACAGGTTTAAAAAACATGCCCTGCATTACATTGAACTCTTCGGCAAGTTTGACACAGAGGGAGCTCTCCAAGGTGTTGGTTTCAGGCATCCAAATCAAAAGCTACGATTTTCTGGGAGGAAGCAAAGAGACAACATGTTTTATACCGAATAAGAAAAACGAATTCAAAAGGGTGGATGCAGAAAACGCAATGACTTCTGCTCGCTTCTGACCGCGGTAGCTGTACCAGGTCTAGCTTGGGTGCCGTAGGCCCCCGTACCCCCTGCAGGCCCCTTGTGACGCTGGTGCTCTAGTTGCTCCGTTCTGGACATGCTTCGATTCCAACCGGGAACGAAAACCTCGACTTTCTGGGGCAACCCCATCATTTTGACCTGTAATTGACCCGCTTGCGGTTGCAATTTTCGTGAGCTTGAACACTTGCGGCCAATGTAGAGGTGATGTACGTCGATTACTTTCCTCTTCGTGTTGGTGGCGATTCTGAGCTGAAAGACTGTCGTGTGTGAGTGATCAGTGTGCGACAACTTGTTGTTCATTATGTTGTTTGGTGCTATTTTATGACATACAAGTTTGATACTGAGGACCTCATCTTTAAGATTGCCAATAAGCACATGAGTGATACATGACTCGGGGTGTTCCAAAGTGCGCCCGTCGTTAAGACGACCTTTCTTTAGCTTTAGACTTCAGCCTTTGCACATCTTTGCACACGTGCAACCGATTTCTGGCACCTTTGTGCAACAGGCACGGCCAGAATGTTCAATGTAGTTGCCACTGTAACTTTGAGTCCAAGAAGAGATTCTGGCAATTTTCTGTTAACAGTTGATTGTTTTCTCTATACTATTCTTTGGCTTGTATTGGAGTCTTTCCTCATTTTCAGCCAACCAGCTTCAAGCTTGAGCCAAAAGTGCTTCAAGCAATTTGAGTGAGGCATTCCAATCGATCCCATTGCAGATGGGACTTAAAGATTCGCCTTTAAAGACTTGGTTATGTGCCGCCTGAAAATGGCCGAAATCTGATCTACAGTCCGGGCAACACTGCACAGCACCCGCTTCGCTTTGAAAGGTTGCCTGTGGCGGCTTTAATGAGGGCGACAGCGCCATATGGATCGAGCATTTTATCCTGAGAAAAGGAGCGCAACGTTTGGCAAATGCGATGCTGTAAAACATTGTAAAACAGGTCTGGACCGAAGCGACATTGCAAAGGTGTTGGGTGATGCCACCTTTTCAGGTTTCGCACTCATTGCAAAGCACATGCAGAATCATGCAGACCGAGAAGCAACTGCTTGCAATGTGCAAATTCAGACCCTTTCTTTTGTTGTGAACAAGGACGCTACTAGGGGCTCCTGGCATCGCTACTAGGAACAAGGACGTTAGTAGGGGCTCCTGTGTGCTTTTTTAATCAAAACAATGTTCAGTTTTGAAAAACGCTTGATTGCGCCATGGAACAGCCTGCGCATGGTGCCGACTGGCAGAGGCGAGAAAGCTTGTGCAAATGACTTGATCGAGCACAATGTGTATGAATACGAGGTTCACATAGGTTCAGACGGCAACATCCAAGCTAACACTTGGACACTTTTTCATCAGAAATCATGAAATCTTTTGCATCCATTCTGGATGTACCACCACATGTACCTTTCCATCCTTTTCCTTTGTTTTGCGAAGGCCAGCCGAGAGGCTAGTTTGAGTCATTTCTTTGCGAAGTGGGTATAAGAAACGTGTAGGTTGGAACGTGCGTGTAGGTCATGTTGGCCAGTCTTGCTGGGAAGTTGGCGAAGCTCGCTCGGGCCCAGCGCTGGCCCGAAGCACTGGAGGTTTGGCAGGAGCTCAAGCGGGTAGAAACTGCGGAGAGGCGAGAGAAACGATGGCGATGCACTTGTTTCTACTAGCTTCTTGTTCCGTAGTAAGGCCAGGAGCCCCTTGTAGCGTCCTTTGCTCCTAGTAGCGATGCCAGGAGCCCCTAGTGTCGTTCCTAGTAGTGTTTGAGAAATGACAGTTCACAACATCCGAAAGTATCGCATTCGACTCACTTTGTATACATATTATGAATCCAGCAACCCAACAGCAGGTAGCAACTCAATTGACTTGGTTTTTTCAATCATTCCTTGCGAAAGCTCCCAAACCCAAATCCGATTGAATGCAAAGGGCTCGGGAGGAGGGGAGCAGAAGGGAAGCAAAAACTGGGCTCCTGGCCTTACTACTAGGAGCAAGGACGCTACTAGGGGCTCTTGGCCTTACTACTAGGAGCGAGGACACTACTAGGAGCAAAGAGCAACGCTACTTGGAGCAACGAAGCTACTACAATTCTGAAGCTTTCTTGGTACAACCACCTGCCGTACCGACCCTAACTGGCAACGGGTTGGGGGACTCCCCTAACAGCGCCCACAGCAGCGCCCAGAGTTCCAGCAAATTCCGAACAGACTGCACACTACTCGCAGTTCCAGAGATTGAAACCTAAGCGCATTCTGTTTGGAATTCCCGTTGAACTGTGGGGGCTTGAGTGTGCGGCTGTGTTTGTGCGACGTGACGTGGCGAGACCGTTGTCAAGTGTCCATCACCATCCATACGTTTTCTGGAGTGTCACGCTTTGGATGTGATGATTTGTTACGTTTGTGTGAAATAGCTGTCATTTTGTACAAAATCTAGTAACTAGTATACTAGTATACAGTATACAAGTAGAATCTGGGAGTGTTTCAGCATGCCACTGTGTAGTGTCAAGCAAAATTTCAAAAGTGTCCTTCAAAACATGACCGCTCTGCAGTGTGTTTTAAGAGGGTCCCCTGAATGAGTGTCCTGCAGCACGAGTGTCACACAGCCTGAGATATTCATGCATTCGGGTTCGTCGGGTTTCACGATGTTTATTTTCCTATTTGTGTTTTCCCCTCAGATATTCGTTGGAGAATCGAGAGGAGACATGGAAATCGATTTCATTGGGACTTTGAGCCTAATGTTTTGCGGAGTCTAAGATCGAATGACATGACTTTTGAACGGAAAATTCTTGGAGGTTGGCTTGGGCACGGAGTGCCTTGATCACTGCATGTGGCAATGCTCAATGTTGGCAGATGTCCCTGGAGTTGCTCACACAGGACCGGTGCAGGTAATGGCGGTAACTTGAATGGGTAAATGGCCTGACATGTTGCTTGGTCCCAAGGAATCCAAAGAAGGAGGTGCAGAAGGAGGATTATTGGATGAAGGATGTTGCAGTGCTGCAATCACCGCTTGTGGGAAGGGGGGCCAGTGGGACCACGTGCCTTTGGCATCACGTGGGGCCCAGTGATATTTGCGTGCGTTATCAGTCTAGCTTGGTAAACTGCTTGGTAATTATCTTGAACTGCTACAGCCTTGCTACAGTCCTGTGAATCCCCGGTGTGTTGGTGTTGCCCTGGACACCAAGGCATTGAGGCTTTTCGCATCTATGTCCAAAGGCAAATTGTCGCCAAACGCAGTGTCCTACAATGCAAGAAGCTTAGCGAAGCCGCGAAGCTTAGCGCATTTTTTGGCGCCTGTTGCCTCGTAAGTCCAATCTCACAGCAGCAGAGGCAGCTATATCCGCCTGCAGTCGTTGCACGCACCCTGACAGAGTTTATGGCTGTGGCTGTAAGATGAGGTACCGTTTCTCCATGTTTCCCCTAAATGTGTAGTCTATAAATCCTTGGATACAAGTAAAAAGAAAATCTTACTCGCCTCGCAAGTATAAAGTTCAACAGTATATACCAGCCCTTGCATTCAGAAGCCGACCTGTTCATGATTCACGTGCGTTGCCCTTGCTAAACTTGTTTCTTCCGGTCATTCTGTTGAGACGGACTTGTAGACGACGTGCCTTTGAAACATCAGAAAGTGACCGTTCCAATTCGAATTCGATTTCTTCGGAACTGGGAACTGCTCTTTTAATATGGCCTCTGTTGGCTTTTGGAGGCTTCTCGCCGCTGTTTTTCAGTTTCGACACCCCTGGATCAGTTTCCCCTGTCTTTTCTTTCTTTTTCTCCACATTGATGCGTGGTGTTTGTTTTGTTGTGCTGACCGCCCCCGTCGCCGGCAGCGCCGCACTACCACCAACAACAACAACAAGAACAAGAACAAGGTACAAACAAAAACTGCGACCCTGTCGTTGTTTTTTCCCCCCCCCAAACAACCAGCCAACGAGTACCTTTTACCAGTAGTGGTACGTAGTGTTTGTACTAGTGCTACTAGTACTAGTGGTACTAGTAGAAGTGGTACTAGTAGTAGTAGTAGTAGTAGTAGCAGCAGCAGCAGGAGCAGTAGCAGTGGCAGTAGCAGTAGTAGTTAGTAGTAGTTAGTAGTAGTTAGTAGTAGTTAGTAGTAGGTAGTGGTTGGTAGTGGTAGTAGTTGTTGTTGTTGTCGTTGTTGAGGCTTCCAAAACAAAACTTTCACGCAACATGTCTGCAAGTGCCGTTTGATGCTCACTTCTCTTTTTGGTTTCTTCCGAACTCTTGGCGTGCAAGAGTTGTAATTTGAGAAAGAGAAGCTATTTTGGAAAGGTTTGTTGGTTTGTCCATCTACAGTTGCTCCATATGTGCATATTCAGATCAAGGCCCTTTTTACAAAAGCACTCCCATCAGACTGTTCTCATGTCTCATCTCAAGGCAATGGCCATGGGCTTTGGAGCTCTTTGAGAGAGCACATAGAGGGAGCAGCGCCCGAAGCTTGGCTGACGCCTTCACCTTCAACGCAACCATGGCCAGCTGCGGCAAGGGACAGCTTCTCAGAAGAGATAAGACTTGCGTTGTATGTAAAGCAACACGGAACATAAAGAGTTCAAACGCAACATGAAGAAAAGACGTGTGGGAATCCCAACGTATGCAGTGCAATCATGCCTTCGCAATGGGGAAACGAGAGAGAGGGAGAGGGAAAAATGAATTGCGAAGGTGTGAAGTCAACTGTCAAGTACCAGGTTTGTGTTGGTTTTGAAAACAAGTAGGTCGAAGATGCTGAGGCAGTGGAAGCAGTCCTTGCATCTCTTCACTGAGATGCAACGCACCAAGCATCGACCGGACAAGGTCACCTATGGAGCCCTTGTGGCTTGGCGGAATGTGCCATCTTGGATTTTGCGCTGGATTGTTGTGAAGTTGACCCGTGTAGAGGTTAGCCGTTTGGTAGCTGCGCTTGCAGCTCCATTTGTGTTTTATCAGCGGTTGGTCCATACTTGTGAGCCCAATGAGGAAAATGATTGCATGAGGATCGATTGCTGCGCACTCTTACTGAGACTGAAACTGATCTTTTGCATGGTAGCGACGCCCCGCGCATGCTCCAGGGAATGACTGAAGGAATTCGAGAATTCCTTCGCTCCAGGCTCAGCACTGTTTCAGCATGGGCCGGCTGCCAGTGGGCAAGGATTGCGCGCAAGATTCTTCAAATCAGGAAACTGCAGAAGTAAATTGCTTTCATTGGGCAATACTTACAGCGGTATCCTCGTTCTTTGCTTGGATTGTCTCGTGGACTTCCAAAGCGGCTATGTCAAGCCAAATCCGTCAGTTGAAAAAAGGCCAAGCACAGATTGACACGAAGGGGTTTAGAGATTGGCTGATGGGCTGGCAGCAGGACGTCAAAGCGGGCGCCAGATGCGTTGGGGTTTGACGCCCTCATTTGGAAGAGCTGGAGTAACTTCGACTTTCCGGAGGGGAGAGATTGCCGTCAAGTGACTGCTCCTAGTAGCGAACACTGCTCCTAGTAGCGATGCCAGGAGCCCCTAGTAGCGTCCTTGCTCCTACTAGTAAGGCCCTTTGCTCCTAGTAGCGAATACTGCTCCTAGTATACATGTCTTTGTTTAATCACAGATTGATCCATACTTGTGTGCCCAACGAATAGGATTGCTCGAGGATCGATTGCGAAGGCGTGCCTTTCAAGTAGGTTGGTTGGAAGGACCGCTTGCAGGCTGCAGCTTCACAGTAGGGAACTATGTCTCAAACCGCGGCAATCTCTGCCCATGCCAAGCCTACTAGGAACAATAAGCTACTAGGAACAAGTGCATCGCTACTAGTAACAAGTGCCTTATTAGTAGTAACAAGAAGCGACTAAAAGAAGACTTTGAGGAAAAACTCGCCGCACCGACACCGGGTAGAGTCACGCCAGGATTGTGGACGTAGCCTGTTGCGTCAAGGGCGATAGATCAGCCACCTGCAAAACACTAAGGGGCAGGTCCCCTATCAGAATTTGGATTTCAACCCTTGTGCTGATGCAGGTGCACTTATAGCAAAATCCAGGGCAACACCTAATGGTGCCGGACAAACACAATGGGCAAACGCACAAAGAAGTATTTTCCGAGCAAGTATTTGTGTATCGATCTTAAGGCCTCATCTGCTTTGAGGTCACGATTCCAAGGCCGGTCCTTTCAAAGTGCTCTTTCCACGTCAAATGGCTGCACCGGACCTTCCTGGAAAGAAGAGAAGGTACAAAGATGAATCCGTAATGGCCCAGCCAGCCCTCCGTGAGCGACGGACCAAAGACCATTTGCCCAGATCACAAAATCATTTACAGTGAAGCGACATGGACATGGCATGATGGAGGGATAGCAAGAATCACAAGCGCAAGAAAAAGTCATGTGAGTCGTCCAATGCCATGGGCACACGCATGCTTAGCTTGATCAAAGGCCTGCACTTGAAATGACCGCCGCTATTTTGTGCCAGTCGCAGCGTCGAAAAAACGCTGCAAAATTCAGCTGATCACTTTTCCCTTGTGACGCGCTGTGTTTGATTCTCCATCTCTGCTGCTGTATAGAATGGTTGCTTTGTGAGGTGGGTGCTTGCGAAAAAGCAAGCGAGTGGCGCAAAGCCCTCGCGTTCTTCAGTCAGATGGGAGCTGATCGAGATGCCATTAGCTGCGCAACTTTGATCAGCGCTTGCGAGCGTCAAATGCCCAGAACGAAGAAAGCGAAAGTGGAACGAAATGGAAAAACTCGAGTGTGGGAAGTCGATTTTGTTTTCTGAGGTGGAAGAAAATGGGAAGAGGCCCTCCTCCCAGCTTTGAGGGCACAGTCGATCTGCCATAAATGAGGGCAGAGTCGATTTGCAATTGGAGGCAATGGCGTTTCTGGAAATCATGAAGTGTGACAGCCTACAACCCTCGGCGATTCTGCACGGGGTGGTCATAGGTTCTTGCATCAAAAGTGGGAAACTCGAAGAAGGCGGGGCCACGAAACTATGCCATTGGCAATGCTAAAGTTCAATGCTGGCAAAATTGATTTGAGGGCGTTCAAGTTGCACCTTCGGTTTCATGGCAAAACTAAAGGCACTTCAGTGCAGTGACATTGAAACATGAAACCGACTTCGAGTAGAATTTATACCTTTCAAATGTGCAGCGCAGCAGCCCACCAACACATTCAAAATGGTGCATGTTCAAAATTTTCCCGTGGGAGGCGCGCGTGAGAGTACTGCAGTCCTGCTTATGAAGGATCATTTCTGATGGATAAAGAATGTCTTGAAGTCTACAGTAGGGGTCAGATGAGTTAAAGGAAGATTTAAGACAACCTTTTTGTCCTGAACCGTGGCGACCGGTTGAGCAACTTCGGAAACGCAACGAAACCAGATTGTAGGGAACAGGTCAAGCCTGAAAGCGGCAACCTGATCAGGTCTTGGGTTGTATCAGTCGATGTTAGAAGAGATGGTGCCCCATGAGATCACCACGAGCCACTCGGTAGCAATCGTGAGGTGTTGCCAGTATGTACAATACGCATAATGATGCATAACGTGTTTTTTTTCATATGGTCATATATATTGTAGTATTATATATATATATATATATCATCATTGACGTGCTACTTCAAACCTCTCCAGGCAGCTTGGTAGTGGCCTTGTCTTCCTCCTGGCGTTGGGAGGAAGCTTTGCAATTGGCAAAAACATCGGCTTTGCAACTCGGAGTTCGCCTAAGGACGTGAGATGTGAGAATGGATATAATCAATATAGTCTAAGCGCATCAAAGTTTGTTGAGTTGCGTTCTCCAAAAGGCCAGTGCTCACTACCATACTGAGGACATCTGCAGCTCTCATCTCAAGTGTCGCAGCGGCAGAGTCCCTGAGCAAGTGGCAGGCAACTGCACACGAAACGTACACTCGAAAACTACGCCGGCTATGCAATTTGCATTGTGTTGTTCTCAATTGTTTGGCAGGAAGCCGTCTCTTTGATTCAACAATATCGTGAATCAGCCAGGCACGGCGGGGAGGGTTGGAGAGTGAAGGCATTCTTGATTGACATGTTTTCTTGCACTTTGCACGTTTGGGTATGAACTTTGCACATGTTAAGATTTCATACGGAAAACAATGCATGCATGTTTTTGTTGTTTTGCACGGTTCTTGTCGAGTTTGGCAGATGCGGCAAATCCAGTCCGCCTGTGCTTGCTCTCACAGCCGCAGCTGCATGTACACCACCTGTACAGAGTTCGAGTTTCCTGAAGGAGGCCAGAATCGAGAAAGCTTTTTTATCGTCAGTTTTCCTGTGGAATTTGTTTGATCTGAGAAGTAAATAGTTCTCATCAAAGGCCCCGTGCCGCCTCAAACCTCATCCCCCCTTGACCTTTCGTTGATGTGCTTTGAGACCTCAACTTACCATTCCCTGATGCACCTATATACATGCCCAACACAACCCAGATGCAGCCCGTTGTGAAACCCCACGGCCCACATGCAGTGCCCAACTCACCTGCATGGCAAAGTATCGAAGTCTGACCATCGGATTACATATTCCAATGTTGAATCGTGCTCCGAAAGGGCCATTGAGGATCTCCAAATCACCTCACTGTCCAACCGGCAACGCATCCCACAATGTGTTCCTTTTCATCCTTCTCTTTTCTGCCCTTGTTTTTCTTTAGAGATTTGTTATCGTTTGTTTTTGCTTGCTTCTTCCCTTCCTCTTTTCATCTCGTATCAAGACACGCAGAATCCCTAAGTGCCGTGTCCTCAACTTTCAACCTCACGCTTTTGTTGTTTTCATCACGAAGAGATCTTGTTGGGACTTCAGGCCGGAAAGATGCTGAAGTGCTCATCGGTCTTGGTGGAGCACAATGCGGCCATCACCGCAGCAGAGCGCAGCAGGTCTGCGAAAATTTGACGAGTTTTGTCGTGTGTGTGTGTGTGATCAACTTCAACCTTTGCGGTACTGAAGCTGTTTCTGTTAAATTGTTGTTCGAGATTTCTATGTTGGAGGCCATCGCTAGTAGAAAATGCTACCTTTAATTGTTTATGTCTTTGTTTTGCAGCCTGACAAGTTTGTGCTCGAGCAGCTCAAGCCGAGCGATGTGGATCAAGCCATGAAGCTGGAGGTTTTGCGCACTTTCGTCGAAAATCCACGATCTTCCCTGCAGATCGTGGTTTTGCTACTCACCATTGTCTCGTGCAGTGCTGTGATCCTTCAAACGCTTCCAGATTTGCATCAGACATCTCTCTTTTTCTTTTGGCTTGAGGCTGTAGTTACCGTGATCTTTACATTTGAGTTGCTCCTTCGACTTCTTGCAGCAGAATCCTTACTTGACTTCTTCACGGACTTGTTCAATTGGATCGATCTTTTGGCGGTTTTGCCTGGCTACGTTGAGTTTGCGCTCTGTAGAAACCTCACTTTGCATACCATGCTAGCCTCGCCTATCCTTCGCATCATGTGGTTGATACGTATTTTTCGTTTCTTGAAGCTGACGCGAAAATGCCCTACTCTAGCCTTGTGCAGTGCCATGTTTTTTCATGTCTTGAACAGCAGCGCGCTGGCAATTCTGGCAATTCTTTCGTTTTTGATTATCGTATCTGCGAGTTTGTTATACCTGGTCGAGTCAGACCGTTGTGAAGAACTTGGATTACCTTGTCATGGATTTGAAAGTATTCCTTCCTCCTTTTGGTTCTCAACAATTACTCTGACCACCGTTGGCTATGGCGACGTTTATCCTTTCACTCAAATGGGCCGTACCATCGCTGCTTTCTTGGCCGTTTGCGCAGTGATTTTGATGTCTCTTTCGACGGCACTTCTCTCTGTGAACTTTGAGCGAAGCAAAGGGTACCTGGACCTGGAGACGTCGGAACAAGAGATGCTTCGAGATCTCAAAAAGGCTCCTTTGCTGCAGCTTAAGGCTATGCCGCAGCTGCTGTTGGTCGTTGGTGTTGTTGTGCTGCGCGTGCCAAAAAGCAGTTTTTGAAGCATGCTCTGGCGCGCATGCAATGATACTCCAAAGCGTGCAAAAAAAGAAAATCTAATTGAAACAAAAACAATACATACACATGTATTTATGATGTCTTTTCGTTGGGGATCGGAATCCAAAACCAACTTTTGACGTGTTCCGATGTTCTTGAACCTCGGCAAGCCAAAAACCGTGGCATGCACGACTTTCTTGCATCAGCCAAAAACATGGTCTTAATACATGTTTGCCCAAAAACACCGCTACGCAGCTTTGAGCAGTATCTAGCAGTCATACTTTCGCTCAACAATTGCAAAAGCACCGCAGTTTGGATTTTTTTTGAGCATCAGCATCCCAAATATCTTCAACAATCGTCAAAACGCGTTCCAAAAGTGAGTATTGAATGGCAATGACCACAGCAATTTGGGGCATGCTGACTTCCACCTCTCGTCAAACTTTTATCCACAGCGGTTGCTACGCAGCTTTGTTCGTCGTTCGCTCACTTTCCACGACGGGACTTCGCTTTGGGAGCCCTTTGAGATGGTTGGACCGCATTGTGTACTAACATGTACTGACTTTGATTCAGACAATTTGTTCGCGTAGGTTTCGTCGAGGCATTTAGCGACCTCGTACAAACTCTTATCTCGAGTGTGTATTTTGCTTCTGTTCCCTGCGTTTCTGTCCCCAGCGTTACAACCCTGCGCCCTTCCTAAAAGCTGAAGCTTCTTCATGTCGGTCATATGCTTCAACACAATCTATTCTTAGGATTTTTAGGATGCCCGCTCAGCAGGTAAGTTGCTACACACTGCCCTTCGCGGATTTCGACTGCCGTCACCGCTGTCCTGCTGTGAACATGAACCAATACACTCTGTGGTAACTCATGAGCCATGAGCGTGCCTTCGTCCCGCTCCGAACTCAATGTAGGAATTCAAGAGTGTCTTTGTTTTCCTTCCTGCTGCCCCCCCTGCATAGTTAAAAGCTAAAATGATTCCAAGGGATACACACACAGGGGGGCAATTGACATGAAGGGAGGACGACGATGAAAGCGTGCCGCGGTGGAGACAACGAGCCACACCGCCAAGACGTGGCACCTAGTAGCTTCTTGCTCCTAGTAGCGAGGCCTGGAGCCCCTAGTAGCGTCCTTGCTACTAGTAAGACGTAGCACCTAAAAGCCTAGTTTTGTAGCTGTGCACATTCACACTGCCCCGACAGGTGTGCATACAAAAAAAGAAAAGACGAAATGACCGGATGCGAAGACAGGAGACATGTAAAGAAAATAAATAGGAAAGTGAAAGGGATGAAGGGGAATCACGAAGGGAACAAACCCAAACCCCATTTCAAAAAGCCTGGGGCACCTAGCCTAGCTCGGTAAACGTCCGCTGTGCACTGAAACCTTTAAAGCTGGGACTAAGATCACTAGATCTTGAGCTCAACACTACGGCCGCTGGCACCGCCCCGCCTACGTGTAGGCTAGGCCGTGTCCAGCGTAGTATTGGTCCAAAATATGTTGAACCTGAACCTGAGCTTTAACCGAAACTTTGGGGTGTAGCTTAACGGCTACAACTACGGTCTCCAGCACCTAAGACTCTTGGGTACATAGATGTGTTTAACATGCAGCAGGCCAGCAAGATGTTTCCTTCTTTCGCATAAAATGCATCACATGAAGATAAAATATGCTGATGCATTCAGCGTTGCAGCGTTGCGTAAAGACCGTGATTTTCGACGCCGAGGCTTGGGACAAATTGGCCCACTCTCTGGCTGTGGCATCTGCACAAGCCTCGACGCCATCTGTGCCTTTGCCCGTTCGCCCCACTTTGCAGCTCTTGGAAGACAGGGGAAGATCTTTCTGTTTGGATATGCAAGAATGTCTCAGCATAGTGCAAGCAACCTAGGAGGAACAAAGCCATTCCTCGAAAACCGGATGTTTGCAAAATGCCAGCCCGCTTGGTTCAAGAGTTTGGATCTGAGTAGTTTATGCCTCGCTCATTTGATGAAATCTCTCAATCCTGTCACTCGTTATCTTTTGTTTCTTTCGTTGCAGTCACTGGGCCTTGGCACTTCATTGGCTGCAGAGCCTTCAAGCAGGCGCAAACAGGTGTCAATCCTGTCCTTCGGCTGTGGCAAGGCGTCGTATGGTGTCACAAGGAAATGCGTGTGTGATCCTGTTTTTTGTCACTTCCTTGTCCTTTCTATTTACGTATTAGGTTTGCGGATAAGAGATAGCATGAAGTACTACAACAAGAAACTAGTAGTAAACATAGTACCAAGGCCGCAGGAGAAGCCTTCGCGTCGAAGCTCTTACGAGATTTTGATGGAAATTGCGAAGAAAAACAGCCAATTTGATATAGTTGGTTATTTTTGTTACTGTAATTTATGTTGTTTTTGGAAACTAAAAGTTTAAAACATTTTTTAAAGGGCAAACTTCAGTCATTGAGACTCGATAAAGTAGTGTATAGCCGGTGCTTGACAAATCTGTTTAAAGACTGGTGTTTTGTTAACATGCTATAATCTGTTCTTTGTTTTCTTGGACGATATGTTAGTCAAGGCAACCGAGGCAACCGAGGCAACCGGATATCGGGAGCGTGAAAGGCCCTTTGCAGCCGGATGCCTTCAGTGTTGCTGCTGGAATCCGAGCCTGTGAGCATGCTGGTCACTGGCCTTTGGCACTGGATCTCCTATATGGTGCGCCAACTCGTTACGCATGTTCTCCCAATTTGTCGAAGCTTAGTTTGAATTCTCTTGGAACCGACAAAGATTGAGGATCCAATGATTCTTCACAGATTTGTGACAACTGTCGGATCATTGATCTCACCAATCCAGGGCTGGAGGAGACTCGAATTATGCCAGGCCATGATGACCGCACTTTTGTGTTTTTCAGGACTGTGCTTCTTATTTTTCTTTGAGCAACTTTACCATTCGCCTAAGTTGCACCCTTTGCAAAGCTTGGCAGATGTGGTGGTGTACAGTTCAGCCATCACTGCTTGTGAAAAGAATCATGAATGGAAGATGGCCTTGCTGGTTTTTGACCACATGCAGCATGCCAGCCGCTTGGTTATTTTGCTACTACAATCCTTGAAAGTGCCTCTTGAAAAGCAAAAGCAACTACTTGTAGGCTCAACTACCAGCGGTTACGCTTGCTTTGCTAGCCCGTACCAGTTAGGCGCACAACAAATTATAAAGAAAGGATGAACTGAAAGAATGTCCGTGTGTTTTGTTCAAAGTCCTTCTCTCAATGTACGAAGCTTTTGCACGTCGCGCTGCAGGTGTGTCTCCGAATGCAATTACTTACTCTGCATGCATTTCTGCTTGTGCACGGCACAGCGACTGGAGAGAGGCGACCACCAACTTCACCTTGAGGGTGAATTGTGTTTTTGCCTTCTCCTTTGTAGTAGCGTCCTTGTTCCTAGTAGTAAGGCCAGGAGCCCCTAGTAGCGTCCTCTTGCTCCTAGTAGCGATGCCAGGAGCCCCTAGTAGCGTGCTTGCTCCTGCCTTTGGCCTTCACAGGAAAATAAGTCCAATCTAGTTTGTAGATCAAAAGTCATAGAGGGTCATGGAGGAGTGTTGCTCCTTGTGCTTGTGGAACTGGTTATATGATGCTGGCATAAGTTTAACTTGTTCCCTCTGATTCTAAGCTTTTTGTGCTATGCGTATGATCTTTTCCCTGGCTCGGGAGACCGAGTTTTTATATGTTTTTAATGACGATTTTGAACCCACCTTGTGACGACATGCTTTCTACACGGCTCTTCAAAGCTCAAAGCCTAAGCTACAATCTAAGGGCATCGCTACTAACAATTGGCATTACTAGTAGCAAGAAGCTACTAGTAGCGATGCACCTGTTACTAAGACCGCCTGCCATCCCTTCCCACTCTCCAGGCGTTGCATCTCCTGGCTGCTGCGACAAATGTCGGGCATTTCACAGCGATTGCTTGCAATGTCACTGGACGAAGGCAAAATATGCCTATCGTATTTTGCGTTAAGCTGGCTAAGCGAGTTGTGCATTTTGTTCATGTCATATCCTGCATGTGAACCCCGTTAAGGCTGTGATTACGGCCTGTGCCAATGGTCATGAATGGCAGGCGAAGCACCCCAGAGCACTGGATTTAGACCTGATCTTGTGTTTTTCCAGGTGCCTTTGCTGCTGCTTCAGCTGGTTGAGCCCACACTTGTAACCTTTAGCTCTGCAATCAGTGTTACTGGGCCCAAAACATGGGGCAAAGAATCTTGCATTTGAGAAATGAATCTAGGAACCAAGTGAAAAGTGCGACGCTAGTAGCAGATTACCTAGCAGTTTGTTTAGCCCTTACCTAATTAAGGAGACTATAATTAAGTTTTGGCACCGTTTTCATTTTGCAAATTCGACGGTTTCTTCGGCCCGTTCGGTTTTGGTTTAAGGCTTGTGAGCGGAGCACACAATGGCAGCACGCTCTACAGATTCTCTCAGACTCTGGGCGCTCAAAGTTCGCTACTAGGAACAAAGGGCATCGCTACTAGGGGCTCCTGGCCTTACTACTACGAACAAGAAGCTACTATTAGACCTTACTTTTGTTTATTTAGTTGTTACTTTTTGTTTAGCCCGGGGGGAATAGGCTGTAGAGGGAGGAAATTAATAGCTATAGGCTATAGGTAGCTAGTAGAAGCAAAAAGTAGATAGTACCTACAGTAAACTACTACATATGGACGTAGGATAGCTCACGCTTCTTCAAGGAATCTCCCCCTTAGGGCGGCGGGGGGGGACCTTCGTCAAGTTCCTAGAGAAACTTAACAATTGACAAACTTAACAGTTGATGCTGTAAAGCTTGAGGACATGCAGATTGCTCTTTTCGGGTATGATTTGATTCCAGTGAACACGTGCATCTCTGCTTGCGTCAAGGTGCAGATGTTCAAAGTGGTTTGTGTGTTGAAACATTTTGAAGCCATCAGCACTTTGAAAGCCAACTTCAAAAAGCAGTGCGTGCAGGCACGTCAACAAGACGCTGCAGCCAGCTTGCTTCGAAAGGCAGGACCGTGTTTTGGGTGCCACCAAGTTGAAACCCAGGAAACATCAACCCTAAAACCGAGCATGAAATACAGTTGTCAAGCTTGGTAGGCAGGTGTCATGAGAGAGAAGCTTTGGTCAGATGGCAAAGATCAAACTAGTTGCTGATTCTTTTGGGGAGGACGGACAGATTAGACATGCAAGCCACAGCTTCGACACCAGATGAGAAGAAGTTGCACGCAAAACATCAGCAACCCAGTGCCCTCGAGTGAATCTTGTCCCATCCATTAAATAGCGAGAACAGGGACAACGCTTCCTTCGCTTCTCATTTCATACCCTAAAAAAGCCCTGTGCAGAAGAAGAGCCAGGTTCGTACTACGCCCCCCCATATCGAAAACAGGGCGATAATTTAGGCAATGGTTCATGCATGTGATAGCCATGGAGGCCATCGCTAGTAGGTTGGAGGCCATCCCTTCTAGGTCGGAGGCCATTGCTACTAGGGTGGAGGTCACCTGTCGCTGTTACACTCTACCACATGTTTCAGCAATCCACACTCAAAGCTCCTTGCATGTTCCATCTCACTCTCTTCATCTGTCTCTCTCTCTCTCTCTTGTTAAACTAACTTTGTACGCAGCTGATGTTTTGTCTTTCACTTCTTTCACTCTGGAAGATCTATATCTCTATGTGGTCATTGTCACGCCTTCCATGCAAAAACCTTGTCTCTCGATCTTTGGAATCTAAAGTCCACGTATTGCATACAAACAGTTATCAATTGTTCTTTCTCTGTGAGTCTCGTTGGGAGATTTGTATTCCGCACAAAAGGATTGGACCTCTGGAACGGACATCTGTCGTGCCGTCTTGCGGTGGCGGTGGCAACACCAATTCTCTGACGTCATTGTGCAACATATGCTTGTTGTATGTCTTGGCACCACAGATATGTTGCATCGTATAATGACACTTCTACTCAGAGGTTCTACATCGGAACTTGGCAGTTCTGCGCAAAGCTTTCCGGTTGCCAGCTCATGAACAACTCGTCTTCGTTGTTGCTGCTGTTCCCAGGACCAAAAACAGCCGCCGAACATAATTGTCACTGCCTCTTTCGGTTGACGAGTTTGGCGCCAATGAGGACGCAACTGATGGCGGCGCTTCTTCTCTAGATTGCTTTCCAAGCCATGGACCCACAGGACTGAGCCCTCGCAACCCGCCTTAAGGCGGAGCCAAGGCAGTCGAGGTCGTCGAAAGCAAGCAGCAACGCAAGCGCCTGGAACCCCACAAAGGCTGGCGGTGTCGACAAGTTCCACCAGCTCCGGTGTTCACTGGTGATCTTGACCAAGATCCATATGAGTCAGAGTCAAAGTTATCGTCGTGTAGTTTTAACTGGGGCGTTTTTCACACAGTGCTTTTCCTCGAATGATGACAGGGGACGCCCTAAAGATATACCTCTAAGACTTGCATTGCTGCCATTAAGGTGAGGAGCCGTATTGGCCTGCACAGTGGGGGTCTACTCAGCTTGACCTTGATCATGGGAAGATCGGGAAAGGGTGCGGATCCATTTTTGTTTCCATGTATGGGCGATTTCAACGATACCCGAACGATACCTTAGAAGGTACATTTTCTCAGTTACATGACAAGGTCCCCATGCGTACACTTGGTTTGCTGCTGGCTTGCTTCTGCTTCTGCTTCTGCTTCTGCTTCTGCT